GATTCTAAAGCATCTGCATTTCTAGGGACCTTGAGCGGCCTCTTTAGAAATGCCAACAACTCAGGGGAAGGGCTCTGGAGTCCTAAGGGTGCACTTTGGTGACCCCGGGCTGCACAGTGGCTGCCCACCGTTCCGAGGAGAGCCTGGTGCAGCCTAAAGAGCAACACTGGGGCCTGGCTAAAGCTCACCAATCATCTGGACCAGAGAAGTTGCAAACCGTTTGTTCCCCACAGCCACTTATGCTGACCTTCTGGAGGAACATCAGATTGGCGCAGCAATTAGAAGATAGAGATCACACAGGTGCGTTCAGTGATGAGATGTACTCTTGCTCCTTTGAGAAACGCCCCTCTCCAGGTTCTGTGAAGGGAGCTGAGACCTGACAAAACGGCTTTCTTGATAAGGAGAAAATTAAGAAACTGGGAGAGCCCCAAACATTTCAGGTGTGTCTCCTTCTCATTCAGTATCATAGGGGCTTGTGGAGGCCAGTGGCTCTGCCACTCCTACATTTGGAAGATTGGGTTTAAGGAAATCTAGATGGTAGGCTGGGTCATCTCATCCGCCTAGAACGGCTCTGAATCCAGGGGAGTGGTCTCCAGCCAGAGTGGGAACAGGTTCCTTGCTAAACAACGAAGACACACACACACACTCATACCCTCACCATTAAGGATTTCCACACACTTAAGCATGCATATTTATTTATAATATTTGTTTGCTTCCCTGTCACTGGCTGGTTTGGGGGCAGATTACAGTAAATATAAAAGTGCTGTTAGAAATGTAGAATTGCCTTTTCTATATAGTCCTGAGCTTAAGGGTGGCCCTTCGTTTGGCCACATGAGAGAAAACGCCCATTGGTGGCTGGGCTGGGCTGATTTCGTGCCATCTGGGTGGAAATGTAGGTTGAGAGGGAGTGGCAGCGGTGTGCAGACCAGCCTGCAGCACCCTCCACTTTGTGGGCTGGCAGTTGGCCTGGCGCTGTTAATGGTTAATGTTGCCATAAATCTGCTGGGAAGGGAAGCTCTCTCACCATCCCTATCAGAGAGAAAAAGAACATCCTGTTCCTTGAGTTGCTGGGGGTGGTTTCCATTCCTCCTCTTTCTCTCCCGCTTGGCTTGAGCGAGACAAGCCCCCCTCCTGGGGAGCCTGGTGAGGAGAGAGGCTTTTCCCCAGCCAGGTTTCTCCACTCATCTGGGGCTGCCTCAGGAGCAGTGTCTCTCCTGCCCTGAGTTGTAAGCCAAGAGCAGCTGCTTGGAGGACATGCAAAAGGACAAGGCCTCCTTCCATTGTGCAGCTCACAGGGATGGAAGCAAGTAGTAATAGTGTACCCCTCCCTCTTGGCCGTGGACAGGCTGCCCCCTGAGGCTTCCCCCTCCTACTGACCCATCACTGTTCCCAACGTGCACCATTACTCCGCCCAGGGTTTCCTGATACAAAACCCAGCCATACCTACTTTTTCCCCCTCCCCCACCCTCCTTTTTAACATGGCGCTGGCTGTAATTTCAGCAAGAAAGTGTGATGGGCGCCGTTTGGGCTCTGCCTTTCTCTCCTTCGAGGCTGGATTTAGAAAGAGGCAACCCCGGAGCCGTGGGCACCTGAACAGGGTTCTGCATTGTACCATCAAGACACGGGTTGGCATGCGCCACACACTTGCTTCGTGAATCAACCGACTTTCTGGGCTTGCTCAAAATACTGAATCCTAAAACTAATTCATGCTTGTACCTTCCAAGCAAGCTGTAAGTAGTAGAATAAATATAATGGCACAAACATTTGACAGGGGTTTAACAAATTGAGAGAAATCTCTCTACCTTCCTCCCCCCTTGCAGAACTGCAGGCTTTGGACTGGTCTTCCTTCAGGAACGTTTCCAGCACAAGCCCTTCTTACGTCCAGTGTCTTTGTGAGAAACCCACAGCCTTCCACGCTTGGTTTTAGATTCACGCAGCCATGTTGGGAAGGCCTGAGGTCTGCTGCTGTAGTTCCTAAAAGCCACCGTGGCTTTGAACGGTTTGGGGCAGGCACGGAAGGGAAACCGGCAAAGCCACAAAGGCCCATCGTAGGTCCGGACCAAGCGGTCAGTGACAACTGCGAACCGCTCAAGGCTCAAGGCAGGGAGCAGCTGGTCCAGGCAAGACAGCGAAGGGTCTCTCTCCAGGGGAGTGGAGGGTGGCTTGTTCTGGATGGGCCCCAGGATCACGTTCACAGCTTGGGGTGCTTCTGGCTCCGTCTTTGCCAGAGCCACAAGGGCTTTGGTACCAGAGAGCATCTTTCACCAGGTTAGGCTGAACCAGCAATAGCCTGACTCCGGTGGAGGCTCCCTCATTACAATAAACCATGACCTGGCACTTTCTCCTAGGGCTGCCCGGAAGATCATTTGGAAAATTCAGGTAACACAAAATACCGTGATGAGAGTTCAGACTAGCACTGGGTGGTAGGAACAGCACACCAGCCCTGCCCTTCAGTTCCGTCCTGTCCATTTCTCCCCGTCCCTTCCGCTCCAGGGCCCTTTAGTGGGTCTTTTCAGAGGGCAAGTGGGTCTTTTCAGAGGGAGCCCCCTGACTTTGCAATACTTTCCCTACTGAGGTCATTTTATTATTTCTTCAGCTCCAGAAAAAGACATTTTTATTCTCCCAGGCTTTCTAATAATGTGGTAAATCCTGCTGTGGTTTTTAACTTTCTTAAACTCTGATGCTGATTTTACTTCCTGTTATTGTTTTAATGCTTGTTTTGCTTATTTTATATTTTTGTCTTTATTTTTATAAATGTTTTTATTAACTTATTGTTTTCAACTTTAAATTTTAGCTGTAGGCTGCTTCAAGTCTTCTTTCAATGGGAAATGTTTTAAATGAATGAATAATAAAACAGTTAGGGAGGTCAAGCTATAGGGCTCCCTAGGATGCCGTTCACTTCTGAATCCTGAGTGGGTGACTTAGGGGAAGGCGAGTTCTGGCTCAGGCAGCAGCGCCCTGCTGCCAGCTGGTAGCGTTGCTACCCAGGACGGGTCCACAGAAGCTACTTTTGCGGCTGTCTTTCTACAGCCAACGGCAAGATCAGCAGGTGCTTTGGGTTCAGGTTGTAAGTGGTGGCACCACAGACAGCGGTTCCTGGCTTGGGACTGGAGCTGAGGGAGATAGAGGAGGGGGAGGGGGACCCGGCAATTGCCGGCGGGGGGGGGGGGCTTATGGTCTGTTCTGCTCTGTGATGTTCTGGTATGTCAGATTTAAGGGGGCATTTAGGCCTTGTGGGGAACCATCCCCTGCTTTGTGGCTCAGGGGTGATACCCTGCAGTGGGCTGTTCCTGGCCCTGGCCCTGGCCCAGCCTCCCTTGTCCTGAATTGAGAGGTAAAAGTTACTGGTGAGAAGGTACCTCCTCATGCGGCATGTGGAGTTAAGCCTGAGTGGAGGAAAGTTGAGAAGAGCTGTGGATGTTGGTGATTAAAGCTCTTGCGTGGGCCTCCCCGCCTTCCAGGCAGTTGATTGGCAGAGTTAATTTAACTCTGCCAAATGGCATCTATTTTGTGCTACAACTAGCCGGTTTCACATTAGCTGACTGGTCAGTTGAGCCCTTGTGGCATTCCCATAATATCCTGATCCCCAGCTGACCTGATATGGGAATGGGGCCACCAAGGCACATGGACCAGCGCCATACAGAAAGTGCTTCTGGTATTCCTGGGTTGAGGGAGGAGCGGCTGGGGCCGCTGTCCAGTCAGCACCACTTTGCCAGACACCACAGCTCTGGTCTTCCCATCCCAGCAGAATTCCGAGGTGGAGCAGCCTTACTGGGTTGGCTGGAAAACTCCAAAACGAGGAAAAGGGTCTCTCGCGCAACTCTGGTCTTAGCTGAGCTACAGGGGCTCTTCCATAATGAGCTTGGAACCAAAATGGAGGGCACCTCCTCCCATAGGCTCCCACCACACCCTCTGTTCAACAGTTGACTGAAAGTTGGGTGTTTCCTCCATTTGTGGACACGCAACACAAGGCCATCTCCCTTGGGATGCCAACCATCCATTCTTCGACATATTATTCTTTGAAGATAAAAATCAGAGCAGCTTGGCTTCGCCTTTCCTGGCAACTGATTGGTCTCCCTGCAAGTTCCACCAACTTCTGGGTACCTGTTTCCTGGTGTTACATTTTTTTTTTATGGTGTGGTTACTTTTTGTTATTAAACTATTTGCTTGATCAAGGAAGTAATCTCCCTGAGATTGCAAATGGCTTGTGGACGTTTGTATCACTCCTGATGCTGCGGCTCTTTCGATCATCCGCATGACAAAATGACAGCGTCCTCCTGGCTTTAGAGTCAGGAGCTTTGCTAACACTTTTGGAATCTCAACATCCCAAAAGTTGCAGCATATAATGTGTCTTCTTAAGGTATTTATTCCTATAATAAGGCAATAATAATAACTGCAAAAGACTCTGGTCATATTCTCACTTCCGAGGTTGGGGTGCTCATTTTAATGTTTCTCCTCCCTTCCTTCCCTTCTTTTGTACTGTCATTTACAGCAAAGTCGTTCCTGAGGAAAACTCAACTGCAGAGTCCAGAATGTTTTGAACATTTGGGTGACTTTTGAATACTGCATGTTCTTCCCGCCTTGTGTTTCTCCTTTGCCACATGTCCAATAAGCAGATCTAGTGCATTTACTAATATTTTACAAATACTTTCCATTTTAGGGGCATTACCTTTCACCCCAGTTAAGTGTTTTAAATCCCCAACAATCTCATTTGGAAAGTTAAGCATGTACTTAATTTTTTCTATTGAAATTAATTCTAACAAGATTTTGTATGAGACTAATGTACTGTATCTATTCAGTGCATTTAAACTTTGTCTCCATTTAACTTGTGACTGTTCTGTTTTATGTTTAAGTTTAAAAAAATGTGAAAAAACAACAAACATAAAACAGATTCTTGGATGCCTTAAGGTGTAAAGCATAAAAATTCCATAATTCATTCATTCATACCTCCCTCCCTTCCACACATTTTGATACAGCCCACCTTTGTCCTTTCATCTTTTTTAGCTTCATAGCAACTATGTGAGGTCATTACTATTTCCATGTGGCACCCAGAAATGTGAGGTGGGGCAGGAAATTGTTGTGTAACTCTACCCATCGCTCTCCTTTATGGCCCCCCCAGGATGTGATTCGGGCTTTGGGAAGGCGGCTGCCCAGCATTTGGACGGGCTGGGGCTCACTGTCTATGCCAGCGTGCTGAACCTGAAGAGCTCTGGGGCGGAAGAGCTTCGGCAGACATGCTCACCACGGTTGACCCTCGTGGAAATGGACCTTACTAAAGCTGAGGACATCCAGCGAGCGCTGCAGTACATCAAGGCACGGACCATAAGGACAGGTAATCTGAGATCAGAAGCAATCCAGGGATAGAATTCTCAACAGAGGTATGAAGAGACGATTCCATCTTTTTAGGGGCTTTTAGAAAAGGACAGATCCAGACCAGGTAGAACTGGAGGTAGCCTCATCCAAATCCTTGGCCAGATCCAAAGTAAGATTTGGAAAAACTGAAGCTTTTCAGCCCAGTTGCTAGCATAGTAAAGACACAGATACAGACACAATGCCTTTGCTTGTCAGCAGAATGAGAAGCAGTGCTACTCACTCTTAGCACTTCTGGGTGGAGAACGACGTCTCTTTTCTGGAAGAGGACTCCATCAAGTTGCGCTTACATGCCTTTTGCTGTGTCTCAGTGTTAACTGATCTTGCTGGTGACACTGGTCATTGGCAAGGCAGATGCTGCTGGGACCCTGTGGCCAGAAGCCCCCTTCCCCAATGCCTGGCTGATCCTCAAGGGGCTGCAAGTCCTGCTGGTCTAAATATCATTCTGACTTGGGGGGGGATATGTTTATTGTCCCTCTCTGCCCTGGCCTACAAGCTTAACCCTCCCTGGGGAAAGGAGGAGCCCTCTTCCTTCTGCTGTTTCAGCCCCTGCCTCTGGGCCCCTCCCTCCCTCTTTTTCTCCACCAATATGGTGTTGGGCTTGCAAAGCCTGCCTTGAGCCCAGGGTTGCATGCGTATGACCAACACGTATGGCCTTTCCTAGGGGAATAGCTCAAGGCATGTTGTTGTGTCAGCTTTCAGACGCATAGATGGTGCTGTGTCCACCTATTCAGGAGCAGTTACTCCCAGTATCTAGGAACACTTCCCTCTGTTTCTCAATATGCTTATCCCTAGGGATCATCTGATGAGGGGATGAGGATTTTAGTGACTTCCAAGAGTGGGAAGATCACCATAAGCTTTGAAATGGTGTCCCACTGGTGTCTGGTCACCGGCCCTTGGACTCCAAGGGAGAGTGCCCACAATATTTCAAGTGTGTCTATTGACTCAAAAACACCTTCCCCTCCCCCGCAACTTGATGACTTCCATGGTCTATGTCAGCTCTTTGATCTTGGGATCCTTTACTGAGCCCAATCTTTTGCTTTCTCCTCCCAGGGCCCTGGCCAGCGTGTCCTCCTCCGAGGGCCTGTATGGTGCTGAGAATTGAGTGTGAGATGTTCTGCATGCAGTTTTGTACTGAGGACAGCTCTTTTGGGCATTAGCCCAGCCCGGTAGAAGGAGTGATCAGAAAACAGTAACCAGGGCCACTGTCAGGGAGATTAACATTTGTCAAGGGCCAGGTTTCATTTTTAGTTTAGTTTTTTTCCCGTCCTGCTTGACTAACTTCTTTTGCACCTGTGATGGATAGCCTGAGCGGGGAAGATTCTGGAATGGAGCTTCAAGGTTGTCGGGAGGGGGGAGAGACACTCCAGGGGAAGCACCTCCCCAGCCCGCAAGAAGACTCTGGGAAAACGAAGAGGATGAGGCTGGCTCCTCCCTAGAGCCTCACGGAGTATATTCTATAGTAGCTGTAGATAAGTTTAGTCTGGTGAGATTCTGTCTAATAGGTAATAGTCAATAAAGGAACTCTACTGCACTGAATGGTCTCATTGTGGTTCTTGGGCTGAACCTGACATCAATCTCGTTCCCCACTCAGGCTATCCATCACAGTGCCCTGTCTCAAGATGAGGTGGGCATTTCCATATTTCCCTATCTTCTGCTTCAACATGCAGGTCTCTGGGGCCTTGTGAATAATGCTGGGTTCAATGACACCATTGCTGATGCGGAGTTGACACCCCTGCTCCATTTCCGCACCTGCATGGAGGTGAATTTCTTTGGGCCCTTGGAGCTGACCAAAGGGCTTCTGCCCTTGCTGCGCTCATCTCGGGGAAGGATCGTCACGGTCAGCAGCCCGGCTGGTAAGGAGAGCCAAGGGCTTCCCGGAGCCCCATCGGAAGAGAAGCCTTGGTCAGGCAGAGCCATATGGGAGCGGCGGCCCACTCCTAAGTTTGGGTTTTCCTTTTCCAGGGATGGAGAAAAAGAAAGGCAGTCAGCATCATGCTAGTGGGCACTCAACCACCTGAAAAACAATTTTAGATCTCTGGTTTTGTTTCTTTAGCAGATCCTCGGAGGCTTTTGTCTATACCTTCATTTGCTAGAAATACATGGTCCCCAGAATACAAGGGGTTGCTACGGTAACGAGTTTGTCCAGCAATTCATCAGTGATCTTGGTTTGGCACGTTAAGTTAATTAACTTAACAAACTAACCAGCCTTACTTTATCTAGCATATTCTTGAACCCAGCCTCCATTGTTAGTGTACGGTTTGGTGTGCTGTGTGAACCGAGGCAATTGTGTGAAGCCCAGTTAAATTACCCAAGAATGCATGCAAATGTAGCTGCAGCTAAAGTTGCTGGCAGCCTTGATCCATTAAGAGGGTGATGACAAGGATCTGCTCTCAAACATAATGACCGGTGGAGATCTCTGGGGAGGAGGCCTTTAAGCCTTCTGAGACTGACCGTAAGGCCTGCTTGTGTTCCTCCAGGCAACATGCCCTACCCCTGCTTAGCCGGCTACGGTGCCTCCAAAGCGGCTCTCAGCCTTCTGATGGACACGTTCCAGTGTGAACTTGCACCCTGGGGGGTCAGAGTGAGCGTTATTTTTCCAGGGTACTTCAAAACGGGTAAGGCTGAACATTGGATGATGCTGTGCCATGTATGGATACATGTATTTTTCTAACACATGGAAACACAACATATACCTGTACCTCCACTAAGATCTCTGCTACTTTCCTATGAGATTTTTCATTGCTCTCTTCTGAGCTCAACTACTTCCCAGGAAACTAAATGCATCTCAGGAAATGAACTGAGTCAGCCCAAGGTCTTGCCAAACAGTCCTTGTCAGTGGACATTTGTCTGCAAGACCACCCACATTGTGGGTGCAAGACCACCACCCATTCCAGAGGAAGACCAACCGGGGTCTTTCAGGGAAACCTTGCTACCCTACTCAAGTGGGTATTCCAGAATGCCTTACAACAGAGCTTGAACAGGAGACTAGTGACCCTAATTTGTGTGGAACCTGCAGCAGGGACCCTGAATGTGTCTAAATGATTGTGAGAATGTTGCATACTGTCTACAGCAAAAGCAAGCAGGCAAGCATTCTCTGCTGTCATGACTTAAAAATACAAACTGAGGTTCTTGGAAGACCAAACTTTACATCAACACCAGCCTTCTCCAAAGCCTTATGAAAGATTAAGCTCTCCTCCTCTCCCCCTTTCCCTGGTTTACTTTTTTCAGGTGGCACTTGTAACCCTGAGTATTGGAAGAAAAAGAAGGATCAGCTCCTCGCAGCATTACCTGCTGACCTTCTTGAAGCCTATGGAGAGGAGTATCTTGAGGAAATCAACAAGCAGTTTGTGGACTTCATGAAGGTGGCTGTGGAGGACCTCAGCTCTGTGGTAGACAGTATCACTGATGGCCTCCTTTCCACCAACCCACTGCTAAAATATTACCCAGGGAGAGGCCTGTGGCTCATGTACTTCATCCACCACTACCTCCCCCACAGAGTCCGGGACCTTTTCCTGAAAGCCTTTTTTATCAACCCAAAGCTGCCCAAGGGGTTGCGTCCCAAGGTCTGCCAGACCCCCGAGCATCCGTGAGAGCTGCTTGGGTTCTTTTGCACCTGCACAGAAAAGCTCTGGAAAATATTTCCATGGGAAGGGTACCCCTTTTTATTCCACCAGTATCAGAAGAGGAACTTGTTTCTACAGAAACAGGCCAGCTCAGTTTGTCAGTCCCAAGGGACAAATCCTGGGTTGCCTCCCATAATGGCTTTTCTTGGGGGGACACAGGAAGCACATCTGCCCTGTTCCTACTCTGCAAGGCCTCAAACACCTGGATGTGGATAGCAGCACCATTCTTTTGAACAAAGAGAATCAATTGCTTCTACGATATACCTCCATAAATGTTGCCATAGTCAAATTAAGCTACCTTTTCTTGCCACTTGCTGGACAGGGGCTGACCTCAAATACAGTGGCCTTCTGCTTGTTGATGAGCCAAACCTGCCTCTGATGCTTGGGGCGTGGCCAGTTTTCCTTCCCCAGAGATATCTCCCCTGCAACTCTCATTACCACGCAGGGGCAGCATCAAGGCAGCTACCAAGACTCTTAAGGCTAATGGTCTGCAATTTTTTTCAAAAGGAGCACAATTGTGTTGTTACTTAGCAAGTTAAATAAAAATTATTTCAGTACTGGATTACATATTGTGTTTTAGTGGGAACCATCAAGATTTTGACCAGACTAGAGGAAGGGGTTCAGCTCTCATCCCAGCACCAGCAGGACCTATTCCACCTATAGGCCTCTGCTGCTGGGCTCAGCCTGCCACTCATGGCTGCAGCCCCACTTAAAAAGGCTCTACACCAAGGAAGCTGTGGGGCTGACCCCTGTTCGTCTGGCTCTCCAGGACCATGCAGCTCACCTTCAGACCACCCTACGAGGACAAGAGGCGCCACCCTTGGGGAGGAGGGCGTGATGACTATGCAAGGAACCAAAGAGCTTTCTAGGTGCTTCTCAGTGAAAAGCTCATGAGCGCTTGCTCTTGCTTGCTCTGGGGCTGACTGACATCCACAGGGATAAGGCAAAGCTGCAACACAGGATGTCACTGTCACTTGCAACACACTTGTTCAGTTTTTCTTGTTTGGTAAACTGTTGCTTAGAGTTATATTCCATGACCCAGCAGAGCAGTTTTAAGAACAAAGTGAAATTTTCACTTCATCTTTTCTATAAGTCTAGCAATTTCAGATGAACTGGCAGGGAAAGGGCTCTGTTTGAGTCAGCTGTGTATTCACTGAACTGTCGAGCCATCTGGCCTACCTGAAACAAGCAGTGGCCCTTCACCCACTCGCCAGAGTTTCTCAAAGATGGTTTGCCCAGACCATTAGCAAGTTCCTTCTGCATCCCATGGTCCAACTCAGCTGGCAATGAATCCTGCCCTTTACGACTGCCTAGCGGAACACAGACCCTCTTGCTGGAGCAGAGAGCCAAGACAAAGGCTCAGGGGGACGCACAGGAACAGGTGTAGAGGGATAAATGCGGTTCTGATGAAGAAAAATAGAGTAGGACCTATTTTGCCTGAGAAGCAAGACAATTATGAGATGACATAATAACCATTGCCACATTCAAGTATTTGAAGGGTTGGAATGTAAACAATCAAATGTATTATCTGCTTCTCCAGAACAGGAATGAAGACCCAGAGGCTGAACTACAACTTGAACTTCTTTGCCACTGGCCCTGTTGGCTAGGATTGATGGAACCTGGAGCCCAAAACCATCTGGTAGGCCATAGCTACTGCAGTCCTGCCCCAGAGAATAGGGTCAAAGCAACAGAGTAAGCATTAGAACTACCTGTTTGCAACGATCTGCCCTTTAGTTTAAGTGGAAGCCACAGGATGATCTTTGGGAAAAGCTGCATGTTACCTGTGTGCAGCTTCCCAGGAGGTTGTGCCCAATCTCTGTGGAGTACCAGGAGTATGAGAAAGACCAGAAAACAGAAACAGTAATTCAGCTGTTTATCATCATAGTTTAAGAGGAAGATACACAGCATGTCAAACACTGGGAGTACCACAATCACTGAGCAAACACAGAGTCTTGGACTGACCTCTTTTCACCCACAAAAGCCATGAAAAGGTTTTCTCCTGCAGCTAGCAGCATTTTACAAACCCCAAAAGAACCGGTGATGGCATCCAAAGAGAAGGAGACCAAGGTCTGGGGAAGCCAGACAGAGCAGGCCAAGCCCATTTCTGATGAGTGGCACACCAGGGATGGATGTTTGCCATTTCTGCTGCTTGGGTGTAGGAGACTTGGCAACGAAGAGCCCTCCCTTCCTACCAGGGACCAAAGGTATGACTCTTAATGCTACGCCTGCAAAACACAGGACTCTCCTAGAAGAGGAGCGCTTTGGGCCAATTCAAAGGGAAACTTTTTCAATTACTGCTGGTGGGAGAAGAGGCGCTGATGAGGCCAAAAGCACCAGCCTTACGTGTTTGAGCGAACAGGGGCTAACGCCACTTGCCCAGCCAGGCCTTAAGAGCCATCCAAGACAGAGAGTTGGAAGAGCTTAGAGCTAACCATCCCATGCAGGGAGATTCGCTGCCTCAGCCCCAAAGCTAGGAGAGGCAACGGCTCCCATGCCTGAACTCAGGGTTAAGACCCTTCGGTGGCCTCGGGGCCCTTGGAAAGAGCTACGACTGACTGTCCTGCCAGGAGGAAAGAAAAGAGCAGAGCGGGAGGTGCTGCTCAAGGTGAGAGCCACCTTTTGGGGAAGGCAGGAGGCAGCCCAGCAAACACAGTGCTGAACGCTCTGCTGAGGAACCTGGAGACCACACAGGAAGGGAGGAAGCAGGCAGGCACAGGAGAGAGTGGAATGCGGGGGTGGCGGGAGATGCCGTTCTAGAAGCACTGCAGGCAGAAGATTCCTCCTAGCCCAGACGCTTGCTTAGCAGCTGCTCCAGGGTGCCCCAGAAGAGTTACACTGGCCTAAGTTTGAAAAGCATCTGTCTTGTAACAAGATGGTGGCAATGGACAGCAGATGATAAGAGTGGTCATGAAACGAACTGGTCTCTCAGTGTGCCCATGCATGATCCATGAAGCTGACCAAAAGGTGTCCCACGTGGAGGCACCATGATGGCATTGGATGAGAAACCTTCTGACACAGCACAGCAAGACACCTTCTCAACAGCACAGCTAGTTTGTACAGATACAGAATGACTTAGCCTGTTCTACTCAGGCAGACGCAATGAGTCCAATGAGTGCAATAAGGAAGGGGTATGTGTGGAGACCCTCCTGCCCCAGCTTCCCCCAGGCATGGGATGAAGGCAGTAGGCTGCAGTGCCATCCAGAATATCTACTGGCTTTGCCAGACAAAGGGAAATACTTAGAAGATGGGAATGTAGTTGTCAATCTTTGCTCGGTGGCGCTGGGCAATGCACTCTGCGATCCACACAATGTTCCGACATTCTTGCTCCTTCAGTTTCACAAAAGCATAAAACACACCAAAATGGAACTGGTTCAGGAAAGCCAGCTTGTTCAGCTTCACCTGCCGGGAAGAGACACAGCTAAGCAGACGTTCTGCTGTCCTGGGGACAGTCCCAAGTGTCCAGCAGGAGCCACCTTCCTAAACAGGCTTGGTGGGGAGATTTTCGCAGCCTTGGTATGCAGCACCACCATTCCACAAGACTCCACCATGACCCATGAGCTCTGCTGCAGCGCAACAGCCACCTCCCTCGAGGTGCCGTGGGACCTGGTGAGTCTGTCTGGGCCGAGCAGGAGCCTTTGAAGGGCTGCAAAGGGAGAGAGGAGGCAGGTGCTCTTGAGGGCACAGCTCATCCCTCACCCTTTGGGCCAAGGGAGTGCCCTCCCGGTAGCAGTAGCTGAAAGAGACTTGCATGCTGTGCCCTGTTTTGTAGCTACTAATTTAGGGTTCTCGTCTTCTTAACTGCAACTTTGTTTACTATCTAGCAGTGGCATAAATATACTGAGGGTGACAAGGCAAATGCCTTGAGCCACAAGCCTCCCCTTTCATCCACTCCTTATCCAATGCCTTCAACAAACCTGATCACATGGATTGCAAAACTCCAGATGACCCTTAAATGACAGCAAGAACAATTTTGGTATCTCTCTGTTGCCATCTTGCAAGCAACCCACAAAGGGCAGCCTTAGTAAAGGGTCCCAAGAGGAGCTGCAGCAGACAGGCAGCAGGGAGGGAGGGAAGAGCCCCTGTGGCTCTGGCCTATCCTTCCCCCCACTGATGCTCCTAATTCAGGCTCCTTGGGGCTTCCCTAGGGACTGCTGCTGGCTGCTCGTTAGCGGAGGGGTCCCACCTGCTCCCAAAGAGGCCTGCTCACCTCATGCTCAAAGAACCGGTCTTCGAGGGTTTTGTCACCAGGGTTGCTACCTGCTCCTTCAAAGAGCAATTTATATTCCTGCAGGAGAAAGAAAAATGAGGAGAGAACGGGTAATGTCAGAACCCAACACACCCCAGAGGGACTTTTCCTCAAGCAGCGAATGGAAAAGACTTGGGATCCAATCTGCTTTGTTTGGGCAGGTGGAAAGGCTGGAAAAATACCAGAACAGCAGAGAAGGGCACCACACTGTTAACATGACCGATCTGCTGCATTTATGGATAGGTACCAGGGCGTCTCTTGGAGACACAGTGGAAACCCAGGTGGGTGCAGGGGCCAGGCTAGAAACCAGGGGATCCTAAATTCTGATTCTGCCTCAGGCATGAAAGCCGGCTGGGTGATTTAGGCCAGCCCAGCCCAGCCCAGCCCACCTCACAGGGTGGTTGTTGTGGGGAAAACAGGAGGAGAGAACAGTAAATTTATACTGTTGCCTTGAGTTAACCAAAAATAAAGGTAGGATAAACATTCACTCATCAACCAATCAATCCAGTCTCCTTTCACTGGACCAGCAAGAAATGGTAGCAACAATGGCGAGAAGGGTTCTCACTTCTGTCAGTGAGTGCTTCCGCCTGTACTGGGAGCAGTGCAACATCCAGAATTCCAGCCAAGGCACCTGGCAGACGTCAGGGTGGGGAATGCCTGCACTGAGAAGCAGAGGCACTACAAAGGCACCCTGCTCTGGATGCAAAGCTCAGGAGCTCCCAAGTTCAAAGGGACACCAGCACAGGCAGCACTGGCCGCTGTTCAAGTTGAACGGCCCTTGTGAAGGGGGATGACCGGGCTTGCAGCCACCCTCACACTGAACAACCACACAACATGGGTGCGAGTTCTCCTCTCTGCCTGCCTGGAAGCCCTTACAGGGTAGTAGTTGGCCACGGCTTTGACTTGCTCATAGTCATCTGCCCTGGCCAGCTGAGCCAGGCCCTCTGGATGGAGCTTGCCGCAGTGGGGGAAGAGCTTGGCGCGGTCCTCCTTGGACAGCTCCGTGCCAAAGGAGTTGATGGTGATGATGAAGGCTCTCCGGTCAGCTTCAAACTAGAGGAAAAGACGGACAAGTCAGCAAAGGGAAAGAAGCTCCCCCAGCTGGGAGGGAACCAATGCAGGATCAAACCAGATCTTTATTACCAGCATAAGGAGGGTGGGGTACAGTCAGTTAAAAGGCATAGAAGATATATCAGAGTCTAAAAATAAAAATCATGAGAAACTAGAAGATATAAAAAATATATTAAAACAGAAAGTATATATAAAAAACTAGTCTAAAAGAATCTAAAAGGAGGGGTGGGAGCATTAGCTGGGTGCAGGGGAGCATTAGGGTTTATTTATTTATTATTTATGTATTTATCATATTTATATAGCCACCCATCTCACACAAGGTGACTCTGGGCGGTGTACAGCAATTAAAGGTTGTTAGGGTTAGTGTGTGGAAGACTACATCAAATTACAGAACACTCTACCATGATGAACTAGATGATCGTTAAATCTAGTTTATGGCACAGGTCATCATCTGACAAATTTTAAGCACTGCTGTGCAGAACCGGGCAACACTGTATGTTGCAGCAGGGCTGGTGCCTGAAAGCAGCAGGGAGGTGTAGAATTGTCCTGCGCGCTCTGGGTATTTATGCAATAATCATGAGATGAGGCTAGTCCGAATGCCTCTGTAATACAGGCACCGGAGAAGCGCATGCGCTGTTGGTTCCGGGTGTCCAGAGACACAGGGGCCTTGTCTCTCTGGGTAAAGGATCTTCCTGTATCAGCCTTCAAGGACAGCTGAAGGGAGGACCAATGCAGGAGCACCACTACAGCAGGACGCACCCTTGCAAAAGCCCACATGCTCTCAAAAGCAAGAGAGGCTACTAGCTCTTATTTTATCAGATTGCACGGATCAGCAATTCTTGCCAGCTTATTAGAAATGGGAAAACTAACTGCGGTGTTGAATTTTGCAGAGAGACAATGCAGTATGAGTTGAAAACTATCTGCCTAACAAGATCTTCTGCAGCAAAATTGTCTGATTTCTATCTTGGGAAAAGCAGATGGAAATCTTTAAAAAAGTTTCTAGCACACTTTATCTTTTAGCCTGAAGGTAACTCTTCTTATATGCACCAAGGGAAGGTAGGTGGGAGAAGAAAGAACAAACTGATGTCCAATATCTCATGCCAAATTAGAAACCTGGAGCATTTCTGCTCCTAGAAACTGCTTGGACTCGAACAAAGACAGGCACCAAAAAGGAGCAGAGCTGCCTTCTTACAGGTTTTCAGCAGCTGTGGCAAAGCACATAACTCGGGGCCACCACTGGCTTCCCCATTCCAACCAGACAAGCAGGAAGCTCAGTCCCCATAAAGCAGTTGCTAAGCTGGCTCCTACCTCCAAAATAGGGCACATGGCATCTGCTGTTGTACCTCCCAGGGCCTTGCAGAACTTGTAGAAGGACTCCAGGTAAGCCTGGGGAGAAATCAGCCAATCATGAAGACCTGGGCACAGACATGTTAGGCCAACAAGAGGAACTCATGCAAGACTACAAGTATGGCCCACAGAGATTTTGGAGCTGATAGTCTGGGAGTGGCATTACCGTCCAAGAAGGGGAGGTGTACCCGCTTTTGCAGAAAACTGGGAAGAACCTTGTAACAAAGTCACCAGGAGGCATTACCTCTATGCACACATGAGAATGGACAAAAACAAATCAAAACAAATGGTATAATTGGTGGGCAATTTGCAGGCTACTTTGGCCATTATAGTGTACCATCTTCTTGCCTTTTCTCCTCTCCTGAAATCTCTGAAGAGAGATACACCTGGACTTTTCTTTTTTGAAGATTAAGCCAGTCCAGGCTGAACCACAAAGTTACACAAGGATTTCTTCAAGGAAGTAGGCATCAACTGACTCCTCTGCCAAACCTGTCCAGCAGCCTCTATGTTCACCTCTCTGCCAAGAGAGCCTGGTAGATGGGCACCCCACCACTGCCCGTACTCCTTTTTCTGATTTCAGGTCCAGCAGGAGTCTCAACTGCTTATTTCTGAAGACTGAAGTCAGGACCTCTAGCTAGTGGGAATCAGTGGGACCAAGGGAAGTAGATGCAAGCAATGTCCTGTGCTTTGTCAGGCATGAAATGGACCAGGAACACGGAGCTACAAAGCAAGACCTTGATCTCAGTGCTTGGAGGCCGAGTGATCTGCCTCAAACCAGAAAGCCCCAGGCCGAGGGAACGACAGCAGGCTTCTCGTGGCTGAGCGGCTGCACACCTGACATTCCAGCCTCCTCACCCTCCCTCTTCTCACAGAGTGCCAACTTGTCAGGCTGTCCTCTTACGTGTACACACACACACACACACACACACACACACACACTCTTTCAGCAGCACTATCAGTTATATCACGGC